GGTAAAAGTTCACAGTTGTTATGTTCATGATGTGTTATTCTAATATTGTTTGAAAGTTTGTGTAGCTATATTTAGTTGCTGCTTCAGGCAACTTAGTCTTATAGAGTATTGATATCAAAATGTTAGGAAAACCCTCTGCTAGTAGGGGAATGGTTTTAAGTGTTGATTAGAAACGTATGATTAGGTAAATTTGTATGCTGAATGGCTTATAGACAAGTAATAGAGTGGAATAGGAGGATTTAAGTATGCCTAAAAGTACTTTCCTGGTGCTGCTGTTGGCTATGTGAGGTAAAAGAGAGAAGAATGAATCAGCAAGGGGGTGAGGCTAGATTTTCAAATATGGATTTTGAGTTGAGGTTTTTTCTCTTGATAAGAATTTAGAGTACATGTGTTTCTTTTTTGAGTTTTTACAAGTAAGGATTATTAGTAATAGCTGTGTTTGTTTGATTTATAATCATGTAAGTGCTATTAAGGTGCTTTTGGTATCTTAAAATTTCATTACAAGCTGTTTAGAGAAGCTATAAATACCTGTGAGTTTCAAGTTAAATGAATTTTCAAGAATAAAAAATAATTTTAAATTATTTCTAACCAACTAATATAACTTGAAAAGAGCTTATCTTCTGACCCTTTGAGAAGCTTTTAAACCCATGATTAGATGCTCTAATTCTAAATTGTAATTTAAAATCTTGGAAGATCATGAATTTAAAATCATGGACTATTACTAAAAATTAGGCCAAAATAGTATGATTTTCTTAACACTTTGGACCAATAAAGTTAAAATTTTATGTAATCTGAATAGTGAAGTGTGACCCAACGAAAAAAGATAAAAAACATGATTTTTTGAAGAGAGTAATGCAAGGACCACGAGCCTCATCTCTGAACTAAGTTGATTTCTCATTTTATTTCCTTGGCTTGCATCATTTGCGTATTCCTATGGAAAGAACTTGAATATTCCGTCTTTTAAATGATTATGGATTTAGTTAACGTCAGAAAGCATGCAGACAAATATAGCACTGTACTTCTTATAGTGTTACATGTCTTTCTTATAGTTTTGTTCCCTGTCACATTGTATTATGTACTTCCTACAGATACGATTAACATATTATCCACTGATCTTATTTTATCTTTCAATGCGTTCAATTATGCATGTTGCACACTAGTATTGTATATTTTAGAAATTCTAATAAAATATCAGAGAAGATGCATTATGATGAGACTTTAGAAAATTTTGTTTTTGTTGCTTTTTTTTAATGTTAATTTTGATTGCCAAAATAGGCACAGAATGTGCTTTCGTAACTAAGAGGGTAATGAATATGCTTTAGTCATATGATGAGATTAAAAGAAGATTCCTGACGAATGTCTCGATGACACTTAAATTATAGGGTTTCCTTTCGTGGCTTGGTAAATCGAATATTTTTCCGGAACAGAGCTCTTAGTTATTGGCTGCAGAATTTTCAAAGTGAATGAATGAAGAATCATGTGCATCTTCTGGTTATTCTAGGTAGATGCTTTATCCAATTTTAGAATTTCCATAATTGTCAAGGCACCTAAATACTTGATGTACTGCATGGTTAATAGAGTCCCTCTGGTGTCATGGTTTCTTTAGGTGAAAACATAAGTTAAGATAATTAATGAAATGAGAACATGGTTAAAAATATTAGCAAGTCTACCTCTTGAATCAACAAGAGAATAAGATAGAAGTTCTGGATAATCTGTAAGAAAATAATGAGAAAAAAAATTGAAGTAGAAAAAAAGAAAAGAAAATATCTATGGAAGAGAATGGCCCCTAAAAGTTTTTGATTTATCTAATCAAGAGACTCCCCGTCACCATTGAAGTTTCCTATTTCTTTTGTCAAATGCACATGGATGAAAGGTGAACTTTCCTAGCCATCCTTTTCTTCTTTCCAAATATTCCTTGCAGTTTTTCAGCGATTGAGAAAACTGAAAGATAACCTCCATGCTGAGGAACTTGAACTATTACTGCCAAGGAACCAAGAATGTGTAATAAACGCTGGTCCATGGATGCCTTCTTACATATATATATCACAATTTTAAATAAATTTCCTATAATCAAGTTGTCTACGGCTATATTATGTCGAGTAGTTGTCACTAAAAATAAAAAAGAAAGCCACATTAGGTAGTGCGTAGGTGAACCAAATTCCATTCAGGGAAAATCAAGGTCTTCTATGAAATATAGAATGCTGAGGATATCCATCTGAAATCCAGCAGTGATTGATTGATTGATTGTAATATTTTGTAATTAAGAGTTATTGTTTTTCCTTTACAGTATTATTTCCTTTCCTTATTATTCAAAGCCACTGTATAAATGGCAATGGCATTATAGAATACATAATACAAAATACAAATTTCTCTCTTTGCTGATATTCTTTGGCCCTCATTTCTACCTCTTTATCAAGCTTTCTTGTAGGCATACTCGGCAGTCTTCTGTCCCTTTTGCCAATTCAATCTCAAACTTGACATGGTATCAGAGCTAACCTTTGCTTCCGCACAATCCTCTCCAAACCACTGTTTCCTAAACCTGCAAAACAAGCAACAAATTAGTTTTTTTTTTTTTTTTATCACAAAGAACCCAACCCACATACCAGACTCACATCCATAGCCACAAATGAAGGCCCACAACCAAATTCCACCAGGCCCAACACCCACACTGGTCCAAATCCTCCACCAGGCCCAAACACCACACTGATCCAAATCCTCCACCCGAGCCCAACAACAACCGGATCCAGTTTTCAACCCGGCCATTCCCATTCAGGTTTATGGTCAAAGCCCTAACCCGATGGTCAAAATCCCTACGTTTGTTCCAATTCTTCCAGCGCCACGGCCGACCGAACCAGGGGATGCCCTTTTCTCGCCGTTTCCGATGGATCGAACTGGACTCGTCAAACAAGTTGGCCGATCTCAAAACTACTGCCACTTGGGCCAGAGATTTCCAGCGTGCTCGGTAACAAAAAACAAAGAAGGGTTCATCGATGGAACCCTTCTCCAACCCACTGAACAGCATCTAATCCATACTGGATTCGATGCAACACCCTTGTTCGTGCCTAGACAGCAACTCCCTGACCCAGGAGATTGTTGCGGCTTGCCACAGACAGAGAAAACGTCATGAGATGGACGAACTCCGTGAGATGTACGGCCAACTCATTTAGCAAAGCTTTCACTTTGCGTAAAAACCTCCTGGAAATCAAACAACACAATCTTCAGTCAGGTTTATTTCAATCGCCTTTCAGCGATTTGGAATGAGCTTGATGCATTGAAGAACCGATTGAAGGGCCATCCGCGGATCTTCACCAGACAACACCTAAAGACCAAAACAGGTTAATACAATTTTTACTTGGTTTAAATGAAGTTTTCTGGCTTTTCGAATGCAGTATTGGCTACGTCTCTGTGCCATCTCTTCGGCGCACCTATCAAATGGCCGTCAAGACGAAAGCCAGAGATCGGCTTGTCGACTCCCAATCCAAAACTGAAGCGGCTGCCTTCTCTGTCCATTCCCAACGGGCGAAGAATGAAACGAACAATGGACATGACAAAGGGAGGCTAGGGCAAATGTGGTGAAAACAATAATTTATATGGGGGAATCAACACCCGATGTGATCCCCTCATCCAACGGCTCAAGTCCAAATGGTAATAATCGTTTGGGCCCAAATTTGGTTCCCAGCCCAAACCCAGAAATAGCCACATTTTTACACTGACCCAAACTCAGGCAGTAATCTGGCCCACTTCACAAATTTAATTCTTCCCAAGGGTCATTCAAGTCCAACCAAAAATCGTTATTGCGATTTTTGCAAACGGAGGAACCACAAGAGAAACTTGTTGGAAACTCCATGGCCACAACCAAAATCAAACGGTCGGGATCTGCCACCGCCAATCAAGTAAGTCACCCTGTCAATTCTGAGAGTACCGCTACGGTCCCTATGTTTAGCCAAGAACAATATCGTCAGATTCTGCAACTGCTCAATCAAAGTCTGCAGCCCAATTCCACATCCTATGCAGGTATATCCTTTTGTTCCAATATTACAAAAGAGAATTTTTGGATAATTGATTCAGGAGCCAGTGACCACATTGTTTGCGATCCCAAGCATTTTTCAAAAACATTTCCCATACCATACACATCGGTCCGCATGCCAAATGGGACACATGCACCAGCTACCCAATTAGGAACTGTTCGTCTAAATAAACATTTAATTCTGCATAATGTCTTGTTTGTTCCTGCTTTCCGGTTCAATCTCATCTCTATTTCGAAACTTTGTCAAGATAATGTCTGTCTCTTAAAATTTTTTCCCAACAAATGTGAATTTCAGGACCGTTTGACTGGGAAACTGATGGGCTCGGGTAAAGTTCACCAAGGCCTTTATTACTGGATAGGTGCTCCTGATGCTAAAACTTCAATGTCTTGTAACAGTCTTTTTAACATTAATAAAACTTCTTTTATTTTGCATCAACGCCTGGGTCATAGTGCATCTATTCCACAACCCAATTGTCCCATTTGCCTTCTTGCAAAACAGTCCCGCACAAAATTTCCCAAACACACGCCTTCCACAAACCGTATTTTTTCCTTAATTCATATGGACATATGGGGTCCATATCACACAGCCAATCATGATGGCTCTAGATATTTTCTTACCATTGTCGATGATTACTCTCGGGGAACCTAGGTCTACCTCATGCACTCTAAAACCCAGACACTCACTCATATCAGACATTTCATGTTCGTGGTCAAAACCCGATTTGATGTTTCAGTTCAATGAGTCCGGACAGATAATGCTAGGGATTTCTTCAACACCCAATGTTCGGAACTTTTTTCCTCTCTTGGTATTATCCATGAAAGCTCATGTGTCTATACCCCTCAACAGAATGGCATTGTTGAACGGAAACATCGACATCTTTTAGAGGTCGCCTGTGCCCTTAAACACCAAGCCCACATCCCTACTACCCTTTGGGGCAAATGTGTGGTCACGGCCACATACCTGATCAATAGAATGCCGAGTCGAACTCTAGATGGTAAGACACCTTATGAGGTACTTTTTGGTAAACCACCTACAGTTGATCATCTCCAAGTATTTGGGTGTCTATGCTACTCTACAAATTTAAAGGGGAATGATAAATTTTCTCCTCAGGCTATTCCCTGTGTTTTTATGGGTTACCCAATGCATCAGAAAGGTTATCGCCTATATGATCTCACCGCAGAGAACTTTCTAGTTTCTAGGGATGTGGTTTTTCATGAAGATTCTTTTCCATTTTTAGACAGGTCTCCCTTTGACGACTCCCAACAGTCTTCCATTCTTTTCGAAGATACTTCCACAGCAGACTTGTTCAGCCCCTTTTATACCATGCATCCCATTCCAAACATGGGACCCTTCCAGTCCACCTCTGAACCAGTTTCTACAGAGACACAGCTTCCTGGTCCTTCTCATACTTCATCTCCAGAGAACCAGTTTTCTGATCCACCTCCCTTGGACAATACACCCATTGTTCCTGCCCCCCCCCCCCCCCCCCCCCCCCCCCCCCCCCCCCCCCCCCCCCCCCCCCCCCCCCCCTTAGAGATGTTCCACAAGGGTCACTCGCCCACCTGTTTGGACAGATGACTATGTCTATCCTACCCTCCAACCTACCACAGGTACTACTTACCCTACTTCCAACTATGTTACTTATGATCAACTATCCCCTGCCCATAGGATTTGCATTAGTCAGATTTCCACACACCAAGAACCATCATGTTACTCTGAAGCTATTTCCCATTCACATTGGCGTCAGGCCATGGCCGATGAGCTCAGTGCCCTCTCTCAGAATCACACCTGGAATCTTGTTCCTCGTCCCTCTCATAGGAAACCCATTGGTTGCAAATGGGTTTACAAGGTCAAGCACCGTGCTGATGGCTCCATTGAGTGTTACAAGGCTCGTCTCGTTGCCAAAGGTTTCACCCAGAGAGAAGGTTTTGATTACCAAGACACATTTTCTCCCGTAGCCAAGCATGTCACTGTTCGGACCTTCTTGTCCATTGTTGCCCTCCGTGATTGGTCCCTTCACCAAATGGATGTCCATAATGCCTTTCTTCACGAAGATCTTCATGAAGAAATTTATATGGACCCTCCTCCCGGACTTCGTAGACAGGGGGAGAATATGGTATGTCGTCTCCGCAAGTCCTTATATGGTTTGAAGCAAGCATCATGGCAATGGAATGCAAAGTTCACAGAGGCTCTAACTAATATGGGATTCACTCAATCCAAGCATGACTACTCTCTCTTCACATGGCACAAAGGTACCACTGTCATTGCTCTTATTATTTATGTTGATGATATCTTATTCACTAGGAACGATGAGAGTAGCATTTGCACCCTAAAAGAACATCTCAACAAACATTTCTGTATAAAAGATTTGGGGGAACCAAAATATTTCTTAGGCATTGAGATTGCACGATCCCCGACAGGTATTTCTCTAAGTTAACGGAAATTTGTTTTAGAACTTGTATCCGACTCTAGTTTATCAGCATGCAAACCCAGCATCATTCCTGTGGAACAAAACATCAAACTCACATCACAGCAATATGACTGTGAGACAGCCTCTTCAGAAAATGACCCTCTGTTATAAGATCCAACTCCCTACCAGAGACTCGTAGGAAGACTTATCTGTCTCACCATGACAAGGCCTGACATAAGTTATGCAGTTTATATACTAAGTCAGTTCATGCATCAACCCAAACAATCCCATATGGATGCAGCAATCAAGGTGCTTAAATATTTAAAAGGATGTCCTGAATTAGGACTTCTCTGACCTCGAGATGGGAATTTCGACATCACAGCTTACTGCGATTCAGATTGGGGTACTTGTCCCATGACCAGAAAGTCTCTTACAGGATTTTGCATCAAAATTGGAGGATCTCTTATATCATGGAAAACAAAAAGGCAATCAACAATATCACTTTCTTCAGCTAAAGCAGAATATAGAGCAATGGCAAAAACAACTTGTGAGATTGTCTGGATTCTTGGATTAGTCAAAGACTTGGGAGTAAAAACAGGAAAACCAGTCACTTTGTACTGTGATAACAAAGCTGCTATTGATATCGCGGCAAATCCAGTTTTCCATGAAAGAACTAAACACATAGAAATTGACCATCATTTTGTCAGGGAGAAAATTGAGGAAGGGATTATCAAGACTAGGCACATATGAACATCAGAACAACCAGCGGACATATTCACGAAGCCTTTGTTTAGTCGTTAGCATTCTTATTTATTACACGAGCTTGGGGTTTTCGATATCTACAAACCACCAACTTGAGGGAGAGTGATGAAATATGGAATGTTGAGGATATCCATGCTGGAATCAAGCAGTGATTGATTTGATTGATTGTAATATTTTGTAATTAAGAGTTTTTTTTTTTCCTTTACAGTATTATTTCCTTTCCTTATTGTATTTAAAGCCACTGTATAAATTGGCCAATGTACATTACAGAATACATAATACGAAAATACAAATTTCTCTCTTTTGCTTGATATTCTTTGGCCCTCATTTCTGCCCACTTTATCAAGCTTTCTTGTAGGCATACTTCGGCAGTCTTCTATCCCTTTTGCCACATTCAATCTCAACTCTGACACTTACTTGCCTTATACGAGCCTTATAAGATTTTCTGAATTCATTTTTTTTTTTTTTTAATACTTGATAAATTATGAATAACTTTTGCCATTTTGAAGGTTCAGAACATGTCAAAACCGAATTTCGAACTTTCTTCACAAACTTAAGACACAAATTGAGCACCTGTCTGTTCCATGTTTGAAACTGTTGTCATCCTTATCCTATACTTCTATCTTCTACACGGAGTTTTCTGACTCATAAAATTATTTAAGGTGCCCTAACCCTTTTTGACAAACTCGCCCCTATCCAGTTTATTGCCTTATAAGCCCACTATAAGAAGAAATTCTAGAAATTGAACAACCAAGAGTTATTACGAGTCATCACCTTCCTGTACAGATTTGTACTATTCTCCCTTCACCAAAATACTTTCAGTCCCAACTCCATTTCTAAATTAAAAATGAAATGCCTCAAAGGCCTCAACTGTCTAACAATGCTCTCTGGAATATAAAAGTGCAGTCAGTCTGAAGGTGTGGGATAATATCTCTACAATTTGAAACACCGACCAGTCACACCATTTTTGGAATTATAGGTCCTATGATTGAAGTTCAACAGCAAGATAAGCAATAGTGGAGGCCATTGACTGTAATTGCGAGGTTGTGAATACTTAGTGGTTCACTTTTTCCTACTCTCCAGCTATATCATTTTTAAAAAAAGAATTAATGTTGCTGACATTCTAATTCCTTTTTCCTTACTAATTGTCATGAACACGTGTAGTAATATTTATTGTACTTTTTGGGGTTTAAAATTTATATCCTGAAAATAATATGTTTCATACTTTAATTTATCGTCCAATGTTCTGTTTTTTATACTTACAATATCTTAGGTGTAGTGTTCATATCCTTGGACCTTCATCATTAATTTGTGAGTTGGACACTTAAAAAATTCACAGAACTAAGGTTCAGAGTTTTGTTTTTATGTAACATCTAAACTTAATTATTTCATCTTCAAGTTGGATTATTTCATTATTTTCTTCTATACTGTTGAACGGTTTGAGCAAAGTGGCTAACTCATTTCAAATTATAGCTTGCAGTTGGTGGAGGTGGTGGTGATATTGGAAAGAAAATCAACCATGGTGGTGGTGATGGAGGTGATGATGATGGTGATGATGATGACTACTTTGATGATTTTGATGATGGTGATGAGGGAGATGAGAATGGACTTTTCCGGAGGCGGATGCTTCTTGAAGACGTTGGAGCCCTATAGGCCCAATTAAACTTACTGAAGAATTGTTGATTAAATAATTCTCACTTATAAATAAATAAATCTCTCCTCCTCAAATGTTTTTTACTTAAGTTCCTAGATGTCACTAATTTATTTAATTTCTACCAGCTCTTTGATCGAAAATTCTTAGAAGCGGTGTTGAATGAATGGCAGAAGACAATGATGGATCTACCTACTGGTTTCCGACAAGCTTATGAAATGGTGTAGTCTCTCTCCGATCATTTATTTATTTGTCTGTTGGCTCTTATGGCTGGAAACTTTTTATAATATTGCTTCTAGGGATTAGTCAGCTTTGCTCAATTGGTAAAATTCCTAGCAATCAATGCTAGACCAACCAGTACCAGATTTATTTCGCGAGCACTTCCTGAAGGAATTTCCAGGGCATTTATTGGCAGGTAATGTCTTGGTTTGCCCTAGAATTATTTGGAATAGTTTCCTAGAGCTATTTATTTATAATTTTCTGTATTTTCTTCGGGATTGCATTATGACTTATGTCTTGAACATTTTTGTGAATTTTCTGCTTCACATTATTTTCTTTTTAATCAACCAAGTTATTCATGTGAACTATCTATTAAATTGTTCCTTATCTCTCCCCATCCCTCTCTTTCCTTTTGGTTTTTAAATAATCTAGGATGTGTTTTGAATCAATGATAAGACTGAAAAGCTTGAAGTTCGAACAGTTAAAACTTAGTCTAGGAACAGAATTGATTTGTTTCTCTTTTTGACTAAACTTGGAAAATATTGGACTTCTTTCATTCTATTCTTGTACCGTGAATTAAAGTTTCAATTTGTCTTCTATTTAGTCAAGAACATTGAACTTTGTTATGTCCTAAGAACACTTGTTTCTTTGATAATACATTTGAACTCTAGTGTGGATTTTGCTGTCCTGAATTCTGATCTTTCTTTTCCAAAATGTAAGATATTTATAACATAGGTATATGCATATGTATATCTTTTCCAGTTCAGTAATGAGTATTAAATTAGTATATTTTTGGTTTGTCATCAGATTTCTTTTGTAAATTATTGTTGCCACAGGATGATTGCAGATCCTGCCTTTTTATATAAGCTTCTTTTAGAGCAGGCTGCTACTATTGGTTGCACTGCTTGGTGGGAGTTCCAGAATCGTAAGGAGAGGTATTCTTTTGTTTTGCTTGTAACACTATCCAGTTTGCCTGTGCTTCTGTTTTATATATAATTGAACTTATAAATGTTTTTTTTTTTTTTTTCTTTTGGGAATTGCAGGATAAAGCAAGAATGGGATCTTGCCCTTATTAATGTGCTAACAGTATCAGCATGCAATGCTTTTGTTGTTTGGTCACTTGCCCCTTGTCGTTCTTATGGAAACACATTCCGGTTTGACTTGCAAAATACATTGCAGAAGCTCCCAAACAATATATTTGAAAATAGTTACCCACTTAGAGAATTTGATTTGCAAAAGAGAATCCACTCCCTTTTCTTTAAGGCTGCAGAGTTATGTATGGTGGGATTAACTGCTGGAGCAGTGCAGGGTTCCTTGTCGAATGTTTTGGCTGGTAAAAAGAAGGAAAGGTAATCAATGTTGAAAAGTAATTTTTTCTTTCTCTTTTGTTGCGGTGTTCATATTTTTGTAAAACAATGAAAAGTTAGAAGTTGTTTCTTTACTGTGTATGTCAGTCAGATTTTTGTTTAAGTTTGGCATCCTTCAAATTGTGACAGGTTATCCGTGACAATCCCAACTGTGAGTACTAATGCGCTTGGTTATGGTGCTTTCCTTGGACTTTATGCAAATTTGAGATATCAGCTGTTTTGTGGATTTGATAGAGCAGTGATCAACCATTTTGATGTTATTGGAGTCACGCTGTTCTTGAGCATGGCTTTGAGGTCTCTCTCTCTCTTAACTGATCATCTATATTTGTATGTCTATTGTAATAAATATAGATATAATTTTTTTGACATTCCAAATTTTTCTTATATTAGATTTGTATATACAATACTGTGTTTGGGAAACAATTCATTTTTTTATTCTTTGGATATGATATTAATGGGTTTTGTATGAAACCATATCTTCTTAGCTAAGGTTTTAGGTATTAAACTCCCTTCTAGGTATCTTAAAATTTGTAGACTTAAAGTAGTCCTCATCAAATTCCTGACTTCTTTGGTAATTAAAGGACGCAGTATGTAGTTAGATTTTTTCTTGGTTACTGTTATTAACGCTAAATTGTTTAAAAAATGGTGCAAAATCCTAACTTGGTTTGGAATTGCTTGAGTAGTGGAATTGATTTTACTATTTGGTAGGCTTTGACAAACCCAGTTTTAGGGTGCTATAACAGGCGAATAGGATATCTTATTTACCTGCTACTTCTGTTGATCTTTTTGTTGTCTTTTCGTGTGGTTTCATGCAGGATTTTACACGTTCAATTAGGAGAAAGATCAAGGCTGGCTTGGCTAGGTGTAGAGGCAGATCCTGTGGTTCAATCAGACGAGCTTTTGAAGGCTGCTTACAACAGACCATCTGAGGATGCTGTGAGGTCATCATCAAAATGGTTTATATCGAAGAATGCCATCGTTTCTGGGCTCGGTCTCCTTGGAATCAAACAAGGAATTGTTGATGATGGTGAAGCACGGGCTCCAAAATCTCAAAGGAAGAGGATTGTCCGGAAGAAAGTGAGCGCAACTTAAGCTTGCTGGTATATTCAGCAGAGTCCAATTTTGGCACCAGACAATGAGACAACGCTGAAGTCCTCGAGAATCCTTGATAAGGAAAGAACAATTAGGAGATGGTGTTTTCGCAATTTTAGGTACCTCGTAGAGGGATTAACAAATTGCAGCAGTTTTTTTATTACTGTAACATGGAGATTAATTTTGGTGATGAGTTAACAAATTCTTTCACTTTGTTTTTCCAATTTTTATCTTGAATTAATGGTAATAAAAATTTCAGTTTATATCTTAGCTAAACATTGTGTGAACTATGACTTTTGTCAAAGGCATGAAATCGTTTGAATTTGAGTACTTTAGCTTTTGACCTAGTTAGAACGAGAGTGCAGTTTGATCGTGCCATTGCGAGTGACTTGATATCATTTTGGGTAGAAGAGTACATGATCATATGGAATGTGGTTGTGCTATGAGGAACATCATCCGGGCAATTCTATGAAAGTAGGAATAGTTGTTCTTTCGTCCTGCACCGTCATACCAACTGGAAAAAATTGCATTTTTGTTTTTGGTTATGACTTCTTGTCATACCTTTACATGTTTGATAAAATACTACTCAATTTTTGATTAGTTTTTCACATCAAAACACATGAAGGCTCCACAATCTCCCCATTTTTTATTGATGATAAAACTGAACAAAAATTGAGTTTCACATGAAAGTACAAATTCATAAACAATGCCAAAAACAAAAATTGAAAAGCTTCCTCTTAAAACATGCATATTCCAAAATAGAGTGATCATAATTGCTTCTCCTTACACCAAGCATACTCCTAACACACAACCATTATTCTTCTTCTCAAATAAGAGCATAAAGCTCACTTTGAAGATCATAGAAGAACAACCACAACAAGATCACAAACAATTTCTCAATTTTATCTTATCTCTCCTCTTTTTTGTCATTAAGCAAAAAGATAGCAAATACCAACACATCAACACAACGACAAAGAAGAACGACCACAAGTAGTTCAAAAACAATTTCTCAATTTTATCTTGTCTCTCCCCTTTTTTGTTCTGAAGCAAAAAGATAGCACACAATGACAGGTAAGAGTGATGAAAAGAAATTCATTATAACATTCACAAACATGAGAACAAAAACAAAAGTAAACCATAAGTTCAAGTGTCCAAAAGGACACATATGTTTCCCATGTGCATAAAAAAATAGAAATCAATATATAAAAAAGATTGACTCAAAGTACGTTTGACTAAGGTTGAGTTGAGGAAAGGATGGCATAGAGGCTTGGAAGGTTTGAAGGTCATTTGAGATTTCGGATATATGATTAGTTAGGAGGAGGAATTTGTCTGTAACTGCCTTGTCCAGCCTATCAAACTTTGCATCAAACTGTGATGCAACTCTCTCAAATATCTCATTAGCCAGTCATGGAGGCAACAAACTCGATCCAGCCTCCATTCTAATCCTCTTTCTAAAGTCCAAAGGATCCCCACTTGATGATTCAGTTGCATCCTCTTTTAATTGACCTTTAGGAGGAATTAACTCCCACTTCCCGTTTTTCCTTGCTCCAATCATCTCCATTCTTTGTAAAACATTCTTAGTAAACAAGTTTGAATCATCAAACTTGACCTTCTATTCATCATCTAGTTCTGTCAATTGCAGGTTCAGTTTATGACAGAAGAGGGTAATCAGCATTCCCATCGGGATTTCCCCCAAATCCTTCTGAATCTCTTCAAGCTTTCTTATCAAGAGAATTGTTGTATTTACTTTTATTCCTGTGTATGCTGCTTCCATTAATAGCGCATCATTGGTTGTAATTTGACCATTTGATCTCTTCCATGCATTGAAGGAATATGTGATGTATCTATGCAATAGCCTCCAGGTCCCCTTTCACCCACTCATGTCTTTGGTTAAACCTCTGAAAAGATTAAAAATTTTCCCATAAAGCCTTATTACAACATGGAAAAGAAAAGAAAAACAAAACAAATAAAACAATAAATGAAGAGCAGAAATGCAAAGCTTGTAAAATGACATGAAGTACTCACCCTCTAGCCTCTATAATTTACTAAATGAAATTCACATTTTAAGCATTGCAACTCATGAACCAAACAAGCAAAACTTTACAGAAGACATATCAAAATAGTGACCTGATCTTTTGTGGCCATTTTTGGTGGTTCTTTAAGCCGCACCAAACGGTACTTAAATAGCTATGTTTACTCATAGCACAAAGCATTCGGATCACAATGAGATAATTCTAAATAGAAAGTCATTGAGTTCACAAAGGAAGTGAAACACGACACATATTTAATCAATACATAATATCTAATCAAAGTTACAGTGCTACAAAAAATCAACCATTCTACACTATAAGCAATCCAAATTAAAGAAATTTACCAATTTAATTTTTCAGGTAGATGACGGAGATTGGAAAGAATGATTACACCTAACACCAGCATCACCAACGATTCCGATCGCCATACCCGTAGAGACACCAGTGAGGCCATGAGCGAGACCAGAAGAAAGATGGGCATAGCCATCAAAGAGGCAATAAGATAGGGTTAATCCTAGTACTAATAATAACAGCAATAATCAATCCGTAAACACCCAACACTCCAGCCATGACCACCGGCACAATAGACTTCATCACCAGTTCTGGCCTCATCACCGCCACACCTACTCCACTTTTCGTTGTTTCATATGCAACTCCCATACCTGCGATACACCCAATTAAAACCCCAGATCGAAAAGCCAAATCAATCACTAAAAAACTGGATTAATTTGATATGTGTTTGGTTCTTACAGGAGATGACGAGGGCAGTAGCAGCGCCGAGGAAGCCAAAGAAAAGAGCAGTTTCATCGCCACTGAATGTTGAAGAAATGTTGATTTAATTTGATGATTGCAGAGAGATGGATTGGATCTAAGAATGTTGGTCTTCAGTCCCTCTACAGAGAATGTCTTTGAATTGAAGTCTTTTCAACCGTATTTTTTTTCCTCAGTCGTCGTTGTATACCATCGCAAATAAAGCCCTTTGTAAGATATTTTAAAAACTGATTTTGAAAAAAAGACTGACAAATAAGGTCAAATTATAAGGTAATCTTATTAAAAAATCAAATTAAACAAATAAATTAAGTTAATTATTATTTTTTTACATTATAAAAATTGGATTGCACTATGGCAATCACTGTTGAAGCCAACAATGACTATCTAGCTCTGACAAGCCACTACGAGATTCCGATTCGATGTTTGAGTGTAGGCAAATGAAATATATTCGTCAACCACCCATGCTCAACCACCACATCAACTTCTAGCAAAACCATTGGGCTTTCATAGATCGATAGATTCCAATTCTAGCAACACCAGTGTTGCTAGATGTGCCCTTCAATAGTCACCGAAAGTTGATTGTCGACACCGATGGCAATTACTATTGTGCAGACCAATTTTTTTAAGTTTTATTTCTATAAATTATTATTATATAAAAATATTTATCTATAAAATAAATTAAATAGATTTATTAAAATATTTATCCGAATACTATTTATAGTTATAAATGTATCTAAGAAAGAATATACACTTTTTGGTCATTATACATATAATGCTAATATGAAAATCTAGTTTACCAAACACATATACGGTATATAGGCTCCGTTTGGTTCATTGTTTTGATAGTTTTTAAAATAATCTTTTGAAAAAGGTTAAATTGGGCGGGTATTACGATGTAGAATTTAGAAATTAACAAAAATATCCCCTATATTTTTTTATTTACTAAACACCCCTATAATAAAATATTAAAAGTTAACAAAAACACCCCCAACCTACCCATTAAATACGGACAGCCGGCCACCACCGCCGGAGGGTGGTCGGAGTGTTTTTACAATTTCTAAAAAAAATATTTGGGGGTGTTTAGTTAAATTAACAAATTTAGGAGATTTAAAAGAAATTGAAAAATATAGAATAATATTTTGGGAATAATGACATTTTACTGTTTAACTTTTTTGGGAATACTAATAATAGCATTCCCAAAAGCGAAACAAACGGAGCCATAGCTTTTGAAACTCATGACAATTTAAAAAATTAAATTTATCAAACACATTTCTGATTATTTTTAAGTTTGGTATAAACTAATTAAACTTATAACTACAATAATCCGAAACTAGCCCTTAAAATGGCATATTTTACTCATTAAAATATAAGTATAATCATATATTTTAGTATATATTTAATAAATATTACAAAATATACTAAAATAATTTATCTTCATTAAAATTTATTAAATCAAATATTAAAAAAAAATCAGAAGAAAATAGGCTGGCCGGCAACGAACTGTTAGAATTCGACAATAAACTGTTGAAATCAAACAATCTCTGACAAGACACATCGGCATCACAGCTAGTCCTTTAAGGATCGGCATGAGTTGATCTGTTGGAATCTGGTGGTTTCACCAGATTCTAACAAGCCATTTGGCCACAAAATGCAATCGATTGTTTTGCTACCTTTTGTGGCCAAATAGCTTTTTGTAATCCTTTTATAAATCAGATTATTTCATAATCATCTTTAAACTTGATCAATTTTAAAAGTTGTTTACCAAATACTTTTATTGTTGTAGCTTAAAACTGAATTGATTATTTTTAAGCTACAACAATCTCAAACATACTCTTATATTTTTTCAACTTAATTACAATTTTATCATTTTTAAAAATTACTAAATAAGATATAATTTTTTTTATATATATAATTTGTAGCTAAATATTATAATTATTTGCAATGGAACAAATAATTTATATCAAGAATTTATAATTTATTGCTTCGTTTAAAATTAATTGTAACAAATATTACTATAATTAACAAATTTAATAATAATTACAAATTTATAACAATATTTTTATATTAAATAGATAATATGACATCATAAGAAAAAATCTAATGTAAAAACTAAAACATTAATAAAGTCATTTTCAATCATATAATTGTCTACTCATAAAATCCTTCATCCTAGTAATTTAAAATGTTATCAACTAATTCTTTTACAAAATATGAATGCTTCAATGTCATTACTACCAACCTCAACTTAAATAGGTATTAAATCAGTTGTTGATTATCTAGTTGCTGCTATTGCCATCTCCGGTTGCTATCATTTGTGACTCCACCATTCTTAATCTCTTCTTCTTACTTTATTCTTTTACAATAGTCTTGTACGATTGTATGAAAAATATTATGAAAGTATTAAACCAAACACATAAACAATGAAAAAGTTTTTAAGAAGGTAATTTTTTATTATTTTATATGATTTAATTTGTA